AACCTGGGAGAGAAAGTTGGATAGCTAGAGAGATTTCCTGACAGAGGTGGGACCCCTGGTTTCCACCAAGAGTTGAATCTGATTGGGAGACACACTTTGAACTATTAGAAAGACAATGATGGAGAGACCAAGATGGCGGCATAGGTAAACACCGGAGACAAAGTCAGAACCTGGGAGAGAAAGTTGGATAGCTAGAGAGATTTCCTGACAGAGGTAGGACCCATGGTTTCCACCAAGAGTTGAATCTGATTGGGAGACACACTTTGAACTATTAGAAAGACAATGATGACATGCTGACTGTTGACCAAACAAGGTCTTCAGCTGAGACGTGAAGGGGATCTTCTTTCATAGAAGAGAAGTAACATCAGTAGCTAAGGAGTGACAATAGGAGGAGAAACCAGGGAACGCTGTTTTCTTTCCTTCTCTGTTTCCTCCCTCCCTTATTTCCTCCTTCTTCCTTCCTTCCTCCTTCCTTACTTCCTCCCTTGCTTTCTTTTCTTCTTTTCCTTCCCTTCCTACCTTTTTCCTAAGCAATAAAAATCCATCTTTTGATCATTAGAGAATTTTATCATAGGTCTAATTGCTGATGCATAAGTGCATCTCAGGAAAATATGGGATATCTCTATTCAAAGAGCAGATTGTAAACTTCTGGACTAGTGTTCTGCTCCCCCTCCCCCTCTTTTCCTCTCTCCCCTCATTTCAGAATTAGGGAAAACAAAACAAACATAGCCTGATAAGCTATGAGGGCCAGCAACAGCTAATATTGCTTGTGCTCCCTCCATTTCTTTTTTCTTTTTAAATCACTAGGATTATAAGCTCTACGAAGTCAGAGGTCCTGATTGATTTACTCATTACTGTATTCCCAGCATTTAGCACTGTGCCTAAATATTTGTTGAGTGATTGAATTAATGAATGTCCATTGATATCCTATCCATAAGATGAGGATAAAAGATTAGTAAATACAGAACTAGTTAACACAAATAACATAAACATGACCTTACAGGTTGTTGTTTTTTTTTACTGCAAAAATTCTACTATTATTTTCCAAAATGTGTTCAACAAAACATTAGCCCTAAAGAATGAAATCAGATTAACCCCATCTCCCCCCCCACCAAAATAAAAAGCAAAGTCTATGGAAAACTTGTTTGGGATACTCTATAGTACACAAAGCTCACAGAGGTCTTTACAATTATGATTTTTCATAGTTTTTCATTTGCAAATTTTCACTGTGAATTTCCTAGAGAGGGTCATAGCATGTTACATTTCCAAAAATTGTTTGACCATTTTACTCTTTTACATGGCACAGCTTATAGGAATAGTATTCCAGAAAACATGTTTTGAGAAAAGTAGTATCTTAATTAATCTGTATTCTCTTTAATTGCCTTTCTTTTAGTTTTAAGTCCAAATTAATATTTTCAACTGTGAAAAACACCCCCAAGCACAACAATGTGAATATAGTTAACTACTGAACTTTACACTTAAAATAGTTAAGTTGGGGAATTTGGTATGTATTTTTAATCACAATGAAAACTTTTTAAATTACTCACAAATGTAACTTTACTAAGTAATAGATGAATCCGTATCTTACCTAAGGGCTGTGATAATGTACCCAAACTTAATGGTATGGCCAAATAAAGGGCTTGATTTTGGTCAACATGTTATTCAATTGCATTTACCACCTAGATGCTGTATCTTCAGTTAGTATAATGACTTTTCAACATAGGGCTATGGGTCTATTTGTGTGTGTTTTTAATAATATGGCTTAGGAAGATTACACAAAAAGATCCATGGCTATGTAGGTAAAGTTCATTACAGCTCACAGAGTGGGTTTGGGATTAGGAGACAAGATTAGGTTATAAAAGTGACATTGTCACTGACTCAGTAAATCCTGCTTTCCCCAGTTATAAGATGGCCTGTTTGTAATATTTTCCCCTTCAGCATGGGATTTTCATCTTATACAGAACTCTAGCAGACAAAGCAGATAAAAGCAGAGATGCTCTGATCTCAAGGAGGTAAGAGGCCACTTAGTCTCCCCACCCCCACGGCCCTGAGTGTCTTCAAAGAACCTAAGAGCTCAAGGGAACACAATTTGAAAATCACAAGGCTAGGTAATCATTAGGATTCTTCCCAAGTCTTACTCCTGACACTAGGAGTAAGACTGAGGTAGAAAAGAACATTCTTGTCCATATGAGAGTCTGTGAACCCCTGTGATTTCATATAGATCCACACAGCAGCCAGCCATTGATTAACAGAACGTAGAACACTGCCGGATTACGTGTGTCAAAAATCTTTTGAATTTCAGCATATATTTTAAATTAAAAAATAAGATAAGAAAAATATTATCAGAATGCACTCTTCCCTTAGTAACTTTATGGAAGCATTTTGAGATATAAACTTAACGGCAAATTAAATTGAGTACAAATGTGGTGACTGAGAAGTTCCCATAGGATTTCCTAAGACCCCCTTAGTTTTTAATGGGCAAGGTTTTGTTAAAACCAAAAAGTGTTAGTTATATAAATATGTGTATTCTTTTCAAAGTTTTTCACTATATTATGGGTAAAAACAACAGAGAAATAAATGCAAAACCATTATAACAGAAACACTGCTTGTTGAACAGCCTTTAAAATTATGACATGTTTTCTGGGAAAATGCATTACTCATGACAGGGTTACAGAAGCAATATTAACCTTCTTGAAATGTAATAGCAAAGTCAGACATAAAAATCTGTACCAGACATGGTACCACAACTACTTTTGTTAAGATTGTGCATAGGATACAACAGATATTTAAAGCTACAATAAGATGTGGGTAACGGGTCCTTTAGAAGATTCACAGCATTCATGCATCACACCTAAAACCATGGTGAGGACTGTTCTAAAGACAGCATTCCTGAAAATGAAAAACCTTGTGCTTTCTTTTGCTTCTGTTATTTTGGGCATTGTTGCTTTCTGGTGTCAGAATTAAATTTGCCCCTACTTATATACATATATCTATCGTATGGGGGCAGACATTTGTTATAGTGACAAACTACCAAGTGCTTTCATTATAGCCAATGTGTGACCAAATGAGTAATATATTACAATCACTTCAGCAAAAAAATATTTATGCAAAAATAGCAGAGAAAATAAGCCAAGAACTCCAAAGTCGTACTTAAAAATGTGTTATGAAAAATCGCCTGTAAAATTGCACTTACCATCAAATGCAAGTTTGATTTACAAAATATTTTTTTGAAATGTACTTTGTTGCTATAGTTTATCATATAATTCATTCCTTGTCTTGTCATGTAATGATGACATTTAAAAGACATTCACATTTTAAATTATTTCATTATTTCTATACCTTTAAAATATTTCATTAAAATCTCTTATGGAGTTTTTACTTATTTTAGAGAATGCTAGCTTGAGACATCTTAAAAAAAATAAAGGTCAAAAGTCACAAAGGATAATAGCTGATGGTTTTGATAATGCTAATTACATATTACTGAGAATAAAGGTAGAAAAGGAAATATGAATACTAAAGGAAGATAAACATCCCAATGCTGGATTAAAAAAAATAATGAAAAAACTCTTAAAATGTCTTTGTACTTCACTGTCATAATTCAAAGACATCATGAAGCCTGAATTAAAAATGTCAGTTTCTGTGAGTGTTGATAACTTGGTTCTTTGTTGGGCAAGTCAAAATGTGTCTGTTTGATAGGCAAAAATGACAGACTAAAAATGGGAGAAGTTGGATCTAAAAAAAGAAACACACACACACACACACACACCACACACGACTTAAAAAGAGGTCCATAATGTACTTGAAGGAGAAGACCTGTAGGGTAGGAGGCAATATCTTTAGGAAGTCACCGAGCAGCACTAAAAGGCAATGTCCGTGGCCAATCAAAACGATTTCTGTGACTGCTGGGGCTCTTGCATCTCCGTCTTTACACTAGACTGGAAACCCTTTGTACTAATTACCAGACTGCACCAGATTTTCTGGTTCAGTTCAATCCTATAATTGACTGACAGTGATGGGCAAGGAAGGGGAAAAATTCAGGCTCACTACTGCAAGCAGAGGGTCAGAAATGGTTTCACAGAGAGCTAGGCACAGCCTGGCACTAAAAGCAGGGTTAAGCAAGCATCATCAGCACTGTCTTCTGACTCTCAGGTTAATAAGGAAGCGAAGAATTAAAAAACAACGGTCCATGCTGCTCTCATCGTACAGACCAACATTTCATGTAAAATGAATGGAGAATAGCTTCAAGGGTAAATGGTAATTTTAGATGTCACTGATTTTTTATTTTGCTTTTGGGAAGTCGATAGAGGTTTGTCTCCAAAATTCAAATAGTGCCATCCTGTTAAAAGTTAAACATTCTTTAGTTTTATTCACAGGAACTGGGAAAAACAATGCTGCCTTTTTACTCCCAGGTCTAAAAAACATCATAAAATTGCAAGAGATACTTAGAAAGCTTATAAGTTACATAATCAAAGTTAAGCATTTGAAAACCCTTGGCATCATAATTCTCACATCCAGTGCTTATTTGTAATTCACTGATTTGGATTTACTGTGCATTTTTAGCAATACAGTGGTTGTCCATGAATCCATACTTTTTAAAGTAAAGGTTTAAAAAGTAATTTACATGAACTTAGAGTTTATGCATTAAAGAAATGGAACACGTTGAGCACTGAATTAAAGACGCAGTTGGCTGACTATCATTTGTTTTTCACTCAGAACTGTTCTACACCCACTTTATTTCTAACCAAAAGAGCAGCTCTAGCTACACCAAGCATTAAACACACAGGTGCCAGAATCAGGGTCAAAATAAGAACTCGGGCCATTTGGGAGGCAAGTGAGAATTATGTGCTATCATGTTGAGGTCAATTGACTTGAAATTTAATCACAGGTTAAGCCCCCTTTCTTTCCAGGCTAAAGAGTAAGCAACACCTGTGCCAGCAGCAGCTCACATTGCAGTTGACACAGCAGCCAGTTCAATTTTTAGTTACAAGTCAATTACTTACTGGAATAGAAAGGGAACATTTCATTCATTCCACAGAAGGCCACTTTTCCAGAGAAACCTGTCAGGTTTTTCTTTCTCCAAAAGAAGAAGAGAGAAGAAAAAGTGAAAGTTAAACATAAATGATAGGCTGCAAAGTTCTAGAGCTAGGCCAGCACACTACAGCAGAGAAGTTGTGCAAAGAGCTTACCTTCCACACACTGAACAGAGCTGTCTTGTAAATGAGGCCTATCCCAGCTGATAAGTCCTGGGACTTTCCTCATCAGAGAATCAAAACAGGTGAAATGATAATAGGTTAGGTGATCTACACCTGAGAAGAGGGCCAGCTGACTGCATGAAAGGAGAGAGCAAATGAGTAAACTGTCTTCCCCAGCTACAGTCAGCCCTTGTGCAAGGGGAGTTTCAAACGCACAGGCTATAGACTTTTGTCCAAAGCTGTGGGTTTTTTTCTCTTTTTTTTTCTTCTTTCTTTCTTTTTTTTCCTTAGTGAAGCTAGATTAGTTCATACAAAACTCAACAATACAGCACTGAAACCCATTGTTGATATTCAACATTTTTCACATAGCGGAACAGAATAGACAATACGGTATCTAGGAAACCATGGGCTGGATTACAAACTGATGATATCTCATCCTTCTGGGGGCCTGTAATCCTTTTTATTACCTACCACAGTAAAAAAAGAAATCACTGTGTGTGGGGGAAACTCTCTCAGAATAAATCAATAACATTGCTATTCTCAGGAAAATAGGATACATTATAATGAAATGTTGCTTATAACACTAAATCCTGAAGTGCCATTTGCCTTTTATGCCAGTTGATGATTTTCAAACTTATCTTAACCTTTATGTGAGCTTCCAGAGGTTTCAAAAATTAAATTATCTCTAGATGTTTCAGTAACAGTGTTCACAATTAACTTGGACTTTCAATTTCTTATGGCAAATACTTGGCAAGTTATTTGTTTCAAAGTGCCCAATATTAAGACTAATTCATAAGTACCAAGTAATTTTAATTAATTTGTTTTCAAATACATGTCTTGGGTTAATAGTAACCTATGTATATTTCCTCCATTAAGAACTTACTGAAATTCAAGGTCTTTTGGGCTTACTTATCTGATATGTAGTTTAATAATTTTTTTTTTTACTCTTTAACTAATCCCATGTCTTTTTACTGTTTTATGTTTAAAACAATGCATTTTCTAATTATTTATAACTGCAAAGCCATTCTTTATAAGGAAGTTATGCCTATTAACCTTTTTGAAAATCTGGTCCAATCCCTTTTTAAAACACAATCCAGTTCCCATAGTTTTCTTAAGCCTACAAATGGTCTAGGTAGCCACAGAAGTGATTGTTCCTACCAGTTTCTTTTCATCACTTCTGCAATTGACCAATTGACAACTGATTGATGGTTATCTTTTCACTTCAACAATGAAAGAAATTACCATCACTATGGCTATGTACAGTAAATGCCTCCAGAGTAAATTACATGATTCTAAAATTCTCCTTAGCTCACTTAGTAAAACATCAACACAAAAAAGTTTCTTTTTGCGCCTCCTTTCCTGTACCACAGATTTGGCCTTTTCTGTCAGCTGCAGAAAAAGAACTTGACAGCTTCTTTAAGAAGAGGAATATAAAAGAACTTGAATAAAGGATGGCACTGGGCCTATGTCAAGCAAGTGGCCATTCTCTGCACTTGGAAAAACATTAGGCATGTGAGCACAGATAAGCCCTGCAAGAATACTCTAAGGACTATTCCCAGTGACCTTGAGATTCTCTTTCCTCCCTTAACTGTTCCTGAACCTTAGAGTGACAACATAGATTCTGAACACGGATTTGCCAACGTATTCTGAGTAGGTGCTGTTTCTCATTGAAAACATCCTTAACATTTTAAACTCCCTTACTGCACAAACTCCCCTGCTCTTTCTAAAAGTGCTCAAGCAAGTGCTAGTATGTGAGGGTCACATTCATCCTTTAGGATATGCTGAAGGGCTTGATACCCTAGCCCCAAATCAAAAACTACTGTAAAAGTATATTTTATTCTCACATGAAGGCCAGGAATCTAGTTAAGGAAGGGCGTTCAAACATTTTATTTTTAATCCCTGTGCAATTACAGTCTTTTTTTTTTTTTCTGGTGAAGTAAATATGTTGCTATGAATGATTGAACTAATTTGCTCTCTTATTCCCCTCCCCCCACCTCCCCATCACCCTCCTTTTAAGATCACATTTTTAAAGTGAAAACATATACCTCAATAGACAGAAAACATGATTTCTCACTATTTCCCTTGATCTCTTAGATCCATAAAATTTGTTCTACTGAATATCACAAGTTAAAATGAATCATAGTTTTACTGTCTAGAACAGCGGTTCTCAACCTGTGGGTCATGCCCTTTGGAGGTCGAACGACCCTTTCATGGGGGTCACCTAAGACCATCGGAAAACACATATATAATTACATATTGTTTTTGTGATTAATCACTATGCTTTAATTATGTTCAATTTGTAACAATGAAAATACATCCTGCATATCAGATATTTACATTACGATTCATAACAGTAGCAAAATTACAGTTATGAAGTAGCAACGAAAATAATTTTATGGTTGGGGGTCACCACAAAATGAGGAACTGTATTAAAGGGTCGAGGCATTAGGAAGGTTGAGAACCACTGATCCAGAGGGTTGGAGTAAATTTTGGCTTTATTGGTTATGTTTATTTTTTTTAAATAAGGAGAATGTATGATTGTGCTATTTGTATAATTAAAAGTTAAATACTTTAATAACATTTATTTTGGGGCCACCATTTAACATTTTTCCCCACTTCTACCATCTCTACAACAGGCTGGTCTACTGCCCAAGCTTCCTCCATCTCACGGGGCAACCCAAGCCTCCCGCTCGCTCTGGTCTGCTCCGTGGCTGCCGCCCACAGGGCCCTCCTTCTGCGTCGGGCCCAGGTGGGCGGGAAGCTTGGCTTCCTCCATTGCCAGGGGCAACCCAAGCCTCCCTCTGGCTCTGTGTGGCCACCGCCATCTTTGTCCTGCTAATTTGTATATTCCCTCCTGATCGGCTGTGGGGCATTGTGGAGGTACGGTCAATTTACATATTTGTCTATTATTAGTTTAGATACCCTAGGTCAGCGGTTCTCAACCTGTGGGTCACGACCCCTTTGGCAGTTGAACGACCCTTTCACAGGGGTCGCCTAAGACCATCCTGCATATCAGATATTTACATTATGATTCATAACAGTAGCAACATTACAGTTATGAAGTAGCAATGAAAATAATTTTATGGTTGGGTGACAACATGAGGAACTGTATTTAAAGGGCCAGAAGGTTGAGAACCACTGCCCTAGGTGATATTCACAAAATGTCATTTTTATATCTTTATAGCTGCTCTCCAAAGATGTACCAGCCCTACAACTACAACAGGTCTCTCTCACACACACACATGCACACACACACACACACATACACTCACTCACATGCACACACACACACACATTATTGAAGTAGCTTTCAAGATGATCCAATCTGCCATCTTTACCTACGACATCCCTGATGGAAAAACCTTCCTCCAACTCTGCTTTTACCATGTTACATAGGGTACCTTAGTTTCAGAATGTATAATCCCTCTTTTTTTGCGTACTGCATAAAATCCTTGGAACTTCCAAATTCAGGGACCTTCTTGCTTAGTTCCCAGGGATCTACAGAAGCTAGTTCTAGGGTAGCACTCTCTGATCTTATTTCCCATCAATCAGCTTACTATTTATTAATAAGATATCTTACTATTGCATACATGCCTAGATGCATGCCAAGCTGTTCCACCTTTTATCATCATCTTCTGTATTCAAAGTCCAAATAAATCTTTGCCTACTTATGAATCTTTGCCTGTAGTAGCAGCTCATGTATACCTTCCTATTCCCTAATGTCTTTTTCATTCATCATTGACTTTGATGCACATTTGGTCTAGCTTAAACATCACCCTCTTTACTAAGATTTTCTTGTCAATTCAGATGATATGAATTTCTTCTTCCACTATGCTGCATAGCTTTTATAAAAAAATATATTTTTTATTCATTTCGGAGAGGAAGAGAAAGGGAGAGATAGAAACATCAATGATGAGAGAAAATCATTGATTGACTGCCTCCTGCATGCCCCCAATGGAAATCAAGCCCCAAAACTGGGCATGTGCACTGACTGGGAATTGGACTATGACCTCCCAGTTCATAGGTCAACACTCAACCACTTAGCCACACCAGCCAGATTGTTTCATAGTTCTTAGTACACATCTTTATTATAACACACATTATTTTGGGTTATATTTGCATATCATTTTCTCCAGGTAGAATTTAAGCCCCATGAGAGGAGGAACTATATTGTACATATATTTTTATGTCCAGTTTTTGGCAGATAGATGCTCAATAAATAATTATTCAATAAGACATAGTCCTTACTTTTAAGGAACTCTCAATTCAGGGTGGAATTTATATTAGTTATGAGATTAAGATGGTGGCTGAAGAGCTAAATAAAAAGAATTGGCAATTGGAAAGATCAGCTACTTCTTTAAAAAGTAAATTGAATTTTTAAAGTAAGAACTTAAATGTTTATGTAATGAAGACCATAGTATCAAAGCCAATTTGCTTGGAACATGGACATTTCCTATAGAAGCATAGTACATTTTTAGATCAGTCCACAAATTGCCTGTTTGGTCTATAATCTAACCCACTTGTGGTAAAATAGCCATTTACTGAATGCACATTTGCTAGTTTGAAGCACTGTAATAAGTACGTTACACAAATTTAGTTCTCAGGATTATCTTATGAAGTAAGAATTATTATTGTCATTTTACAGATACAAAACTTGGATTTAGAGAGGTTAACTGAATATCACAAGGCTACCTGGTCAGTGAAACTCAGAGCTGTTATTGGAACCCAATTCTGACTGGTTCTGGGCTTTATGTTATTCAAAATGGACTCTCTTGGTACAAATGGCATTATTTCTCAGGTAATGATCCTGAAGAGTCTGTATATGATAAATATGGTGGAGAAAAAGGAAAAAGGAGGAGAGTTTTCTATATATTTCTTCATCCCACAACCAGTCTAGAATATCATTGTTAAACATTAAAATAATTATTCAATAAGACATAGTCCTTACTTTTAAGGAACTCTCAATTCAGGGTGGAATTTATATTAGTTATGAGATTAAGATGGTGGCTGAAGAGCTAAATAAAAAGAATTGGCAATTGGAAAGATCAGCTACTTCTTTAAAAAGTAAATTGAATTTTTAAAGTAAGAACTTAAATGTTTATGTAATGAAGACCATAGTATCAAAGCCAATTTGCTTGGAACATGGACATTTCCTATAGAAGCATAGTACA